GGTGAATGAGCCGGATCTCGACTTGGGACATTAACCCAACAGTATTGTTACTTGAAATATTGTTTTTTGTACTATACAGACATCTTTTACAATTTTTGTTTTTTTAGGAAAAATTGTTAAGTACACACAAAAAAATGTAGAAATTGTCTATGTATATATAGACAACTAATGTCTCTATAGGGATATTGGTTTGCATGCTTTTTTGTTAAAATGTCGGAGTTTGGTTGCATGGAAATCAAATCGGCCATTTCCCATTAATAGTACTAAATTAAATTCAAACGACAAAAATATGACTTACTTTAGAAAAATTCAAGAAAGTGACATATGACTAGTTCTCAGTGACTGATCATCATCTATAGTGACTTGTAACTCGGAAATACACTATAGTGACTCTTGTCCAGTTACTCCTACAAAGTAACTAGTTATATTTTTGTTCAAAAATACAACTAGTCATATTTTTGTCCGGAAAGACTATTAGTAATATAATTGTCATTTTTCCAAATGAATTTATGTGCACATGCAAATTTTACATTTTTTATTGTGCTTAACAATTTTGTACGGGTACTAGATATTGTACGGGTATTAGATATGTATAGAATTTTGTTTGTGGAGAAAGTTTGCAAAATATTACAAAAAATTATAACATTATTCAGCACGACAAACAATACTCCATCCGTCCCAATATAAAGAACACATTTGCTTTTTCAAACATGTTTAGGAGGAACATTGTTTGGACACTGTTTGACACTGTTTGAACACTGTTTGTCTGTTTGGCACTGTTTTGTTTGTCAAAAAGGGAAATAAGCCTTATATATTGGGACGGAGGGAGTATTTTATAAACTACACAGATAAAAGTTTTGACAAATGTTCATGTTTAATTTTCCGGTTAATTACTTTTTGGTGACTCTATAACTTCGAATTTTCCAATCCTAGAAGATGATAAAGGTAAAGACTAAAGATGATGATAGTGATGAATATTTAAGTTGGTGAAGATATGAGGTGAACAGTGATGAATATGGTGTAGTAGATGGAAATGGAAGATGATGGTAATAGAAAGATTATAAGCTATGAAGTACAGATACTTCCCTAGGGTAGCGTATCGGCGTATCGGATACGTTCCCGTATCCGATACTCTAGGATACCCGTACCGTACGTTCCCGGGCCGTATCTGCAATTTTTAAGAGTTTCCATTTTTTTTTGTAATTTTTTGAAAGTTTCCGATACTCGTATCCTGACGGATACCCGTATCAACCTTTTTTTTTAAATCCCAAAATTTACTTAATAAAATTCTAAAAAAAAAATGAAAATCTAAAACTACATTTTACTTGGTAATCAAATAATGGGCCTATATGGCTATATCCGAATTAAGTCATTAACTCATACTCCGAAGTGGGTACTTGCACTTTTAATTTCAAGATTGCAGTTGTTTGACTTATTTCTCATTTTAAATTAATGGGTTATTGACTACATTTATATTTCGAGATACACTAGTGTATATGAGAAATATTATGAATTTATTACTAAGTATCATGAAAAAGGAAAATGCTTCAATGCAATGAATGGGTAGACATCATAGGATATTATATGTATATATATTAAAAAAAATCTATTTTTAATATTTATAAATGGACCCCTATAACTTTTAATATTTGTAAATACGCCCCCATAACTTTTAATATTTATAAATATGGCCCCGTATCCGTATCCTACTTTTTTTGGTTTCAATGTATCCCCGTACTCGTTTGCGCGTTTCCGCGTTTCCGCGTACCGGTATCGGTGCTACATATATTATAAGACGATGCTATTGATGATGAAGCGCTAAGGTGAAAATGATCGGAATAAAAAGACTGAGTGAGTTGGATTGGGAAACCACATAGAAAAAAAGAAAAAAAAAGTAAAAAGGGATAAAATGTAAAAAGAAAATAATGAAAATAAAAAGTACGGAGTATTTTAAAATGGTCAAATGGAAACAAAATGGTAATCCATATTAAGCTGAACCGTACTGCCTACGCCCTACGGTATAGGGACAAATGAAGTAGCTGCGACACAAATGTCAAGTTTTTATTCCTTTTAATTAATTAATTCTGCAATTAGTTATGACTGAGACCTTACGTTATCAATTACGTATTTTCGAGTCATAATATACTTGGACAAACAACATCAAAAGCTAGAATTGAATTAATTAGTACTCCGTATCAAATAAGCCCCCGTAGTATACCGAAGAAGTCGATTAGGCTCTCGTACTTTACAAACAGTCAATTAAGTCCTTGAACTATTAAAAACCGTTCAATTAAGCCCTTTCGGTCAGTAAGTCACCGGTTTCCCGGTTAAATGTAACCCATTTCCCGACAGCCGCCGTTGCTGGGGTTCAAGCACATCGTTGCCGTCTTCGCCGTTTAACCGGGAAACCGGTTACTTACCGACCAAAAGGGCTTAATTGAACGTTTTTTAATAGTTCGAGAACTTAATTGAGTGTTTGTAAAGTATGAGGGCCTAATCGACTTTTTCGGCATAGTAAGGGGGCTTATTTGATAGTTTTCCCATTACACTTTGTTATGGGTAGTTATAAAATGATACTGTTACATTTTTCGATATATATTCAAGTTTATTTTTCGATATGTATTAAGTGTACCTTGTGCATTCAAGATGTTTTTACGTGGACGATAATCCGTCTCAGATCAGATCAAATCAGATCAGACCAGACTTGAATAGTTATAAAAATATAAAAAGATCAGACATTATCAGACCAGAACAGACCATACTAGTGCTCAAATTACAGTCCAAGTAAAAAACATCCTTAGTGCTCAAACGATAATCATAGTGTTGATCGCAGATCATGTGCATTGTGTATCAATCTCACTACTCTTATTTGAGAAAATGGTAAAAAAATGGTACATGAAGTTGTATCGACGAGAGTAAGTAGTGGTTCATCTTGCATTTGAAAATTTAAAAGAACACGAGCTTGTATTTTTATAGTCAATTAAGTACATTTGCTCTATCAGAACGTTAAAATAGCTGACATGACCAAACTATCTGTTTGCATTATACAGTTGCAGTCCAAGACTCCAAGTCATCAAATAATTAATCTATAAATTCTAATTTCCTCCAGTCCACTCGTTTTCACCTTCGCTCTTCATCTTATATTTTTCTCGCCTGCTCTCCCTTCTCTTAGCTCTACATCTTATATTTCTCCCGTCTGCTCTCCCGGGTATCCTGTCGGCTTCTTTTTGCTCTATTTTATTTTCTTCTTCTCTTGCTATAATAAAGTTGGACCGATGGCAAATAAAAGAAGAAGCCGATGGGATACCAAGGAGAGAAGACGAAAGAGAAGGGGAGTCACACGGGCGGAGCTATACGGGGCCAACCTATGCCTTGACCCACCTCAAATTTAAAAATGCTTTAATTTTAAAGTAAAAGTTTTGTGAGTATCGGATCTGACACGGTCAAGTCAACGTATGTTTTCGATAATGTACTCATAGGTTGTACTCATGCACTTTAATTTTCAGTTGCATTTAATTCTCAAAATTCCTGCTTCCAAGTTCCTGTCTGCAATATGACGAAGATATAGGAGCGTTCTATTTCAGAAACTCACTGACTTCACAAATTGATACGATGAAATTATTATCTTCGATCGCAAATCCCAATGTCAACTCAAATCTATCACAGAAGAAGCGGAGGAAAACCGACGATTCAGATCGGGATCAGATGCAATCTACTTTGTGGATGGACTGATGTGGAAGAACCCGTCTGCCCAAAAGATCTACTCATCGAAGCTTGTGGATGCTCTCCGCCAAATCCGTCGAAGAAATGAAATGATATGATACTTAATCTGTTGTGGCCGACATCCATACTATTCGGGAGACTGCTTATGGACTCCTCGTTGCCGCCGCCAAGGGAAGGACCAGATGGAGCAGATCGATTTGGAATTTGGAAGGTCGTAGGTCTGGAAGCTTGTTGATGCTCTCCGTCAAGTCCGCTGCGAAATAGACTTCAACAGACAAGTCCGCTGCGAAGAAGTCCGCTGGAGCAGATCGATTTGCAATTTTTTCTAAGTTAAGCAATTGATTTTAAGTTAGGGGTATAATAGTCAAAACATGTCCACTTATGTCCGACGCAAGCTTCTACTCATAATTTTGGAAAATAGATATGTTTAAGTCTTATGAGTATAATTTTCCCTATTTCATATTACATTTAGAAAATGTAATCAACTTAAAAACATCTTATTGGTAAACTAAAATCTCACCAAGTGACTTTTCAGAATTCATAAATGGTTTCATTTAAGTTGATTTCAATCTCAAACCAGAAGGTACCAAATTAGAATTTAACAGACCACTCTGACATGGACTTCTCTCTATGTCATCAGAACAATTTTAAATTGATAAAATTTGTTCAAATCAAATTTAAAGAAATCTCTCTGTCACTTAAAACTGTGCCAATTATTCTTTTTTGATTGTCTTACAAATTTTGTCACTTTTCTTTTTAAGTAAAAATATGTGGATCCAATTAATTTTTTTTTCCTTGCACAAATTTTAATTATACAATTTTTACATTATTAATTTTTGTGTCAGTTAAATTTGACTAAGTTTTATAGACGGAGGGAGTTTTATACGTAGTATTATACAGAGTACCAGATGAAATTTCTTATCGAGTGAAAACGCTCTGAAATAAAGTTTGGTGCATTTTGTTTTGCGACTTCGCTTTTCATGTGATAAAATACAAACAACCAAGGTTGTCACCTTTGCCACGGAGAAACGGATCTAGTCGTTATCTCCCCTTCACAGACGTTTTCATTTACCCAAAAAAGAAAAGAAAAACCCAACCTTTCAACAAAAAGAAAAAAAGAAAAGAAAAGAAAAACCCAACAGACACGTGGCAACGCAGACCCCACACCCTTTCTCTCTCATCTTCTCTGCGTTGGGTCGTCTCTGTCTTTCTCTCTCAAAATATCAGTTTTACTGAAGAATGAGCTGGAGACCGATTCCGTGTTTGCAATTCGAGCTGTAACAGAAACCCAACCCCTTTAATATCTCCTCCTCCTCCCCCTATATATATACCTCCCCACATTTTCTTTCCCTTCACTCAAACCACCACACTTCTACTTAATTCTCCAATGGAGTTTCTTCTGTCCGCCATTGTTTTTGTCCCATTAGCTTCCTTCTTCCTCCTCCGTTCCCTTCTCAAATTCTTCTCTTTAGGGCCAATCAAACTCCCCCTCCCCCCTGGCACTCTGGGTTGGCCTTACATTGGGGAAACCTTCCTTCTCTACTCTCAGAATCCCAACGTTTTCTTCGCCTCTAAAGTCAAGAAGTATGTGGGATTAATTAATGACTGGATTTTTTTTGCTGATTTCTTCGCAAGACTGGATTTTTTTTGAAAAAGATATTGAATTTGTTTGTGTTTGTCACAGGTATGGCTCTATTTTCAAGACCCACATACTGGGTTGCCGCTGTGTGATGATTTCCAGCCCGGCGGTGGCGAAGATGGTGCTAGTCACCAAGGCTGACCTCTTCAAGCCCACATTTCCGGCGAGTAAAGAGAGGATGCTGGGGAAACAGGCTATTTTCTTTCACCAGGGAGACTACCATGCCCGGTTGAGAAGGCTTGTTCTCCGGGCGTTCATGCCGGAATCCATCAGAGCCATAGTCCCCGACGTTGAATCCATCGCCGGAGCAACTCTCCGGTCCTTGGAGGGCCGTCTGGTCAATACCTACCAAGAAATGAAAACCGTACGTGTGCATATGATTCTATCTGTTTGATGAATTGCTCAACAGAGACTTAGACCAACCTCCCCTGTTTTATTTTTGTTTCTAAATCTAGTTATTTCGTATAATTTTAAATTCTTATCTGATTATTATGGTTTCATATATGTATACAGTACACGTTCAATGTGGCTTTGCTTTCCATATTCGGAAAGGATGAAGTTCTGTACAGGGAGGATCTAAAGACGTGTTATTACATTCTGGAGAAAGGGTATAATTCCATGCCTATAAATTTCCCCGGAACACTCTTCAACAAAGCCATGAAAGCCAGAAAGGAACTAGCCCAGATTCTGGCCAAAATCATCTCTTGCAGAAGGCAAAACGGCGAAATCTACAACGACTTGTTGGGATCATTCATGGGAGATAAGGAAAGCCTCTCCGACGACCAAATTGCCGACAACGTCATCGGAGTCATCTTCGCAGCCCGTGACACTACAGCTAGTGTTCTCACCTGGGTCATCAAATTCCTAGCTGAAAACCCCACTGTTCTACAAGCAGTCACAGTAAGTTTTTTTTTTATAAAAAAAGTCTTTTTTATTTTTTCTTTGATTATTGGATTTTTTTGTGATTAATTAAATATCTGGGTGTGGTGGGGTTTTGTGCAGGAAGAGCAAGAAGGGATTTTGAGATCAAAAGAGGAGAGTGGAGAAGAGAAGATTCTTAGCTTTGCAGATTCCAAGAAGATGCCTGTTACTACTAGAGTGATTCAAGAAACACTCAGAGTGGCTTCAATCTTATCTTTTACATTTAGAGAAGCTGTTGAAGATGTGGAGTTAGAAGGTCGGTTTTGACACCCCAATGCTACATAAAGTCAAAAATATCCACTTATAGATATTTTAATCTATTTGTAAATTATTAACTTGACTTTCCTTCATTCTTTAGGCTACCTAATTCCAAAAGGGTGGAAAGTGTTGCCCCTGTTTAGAAACATTCATCACAGCCCAGAAAATTTTTCAGATCCAGAGAAGTTTGACCCTTCAAGATTTGAGGTAACTTGTTAATTTATTTTATCATATGAAAGTTTTATTTTATGTGTAGGTTTTAATTAATTATTTAGTAGTTCTACCACACAAATGCCATGAACTGAGAAAACCAAATCTGCTGCTGTGAAATGATAGGTATCTCCAAGGCCCAATACATTCATGCCATTTGGCAGTGGGACACATGCATGCCCTGGGAATGAATTAGCCAAGTTGGAGATTTTGGTCTTTGTACACCATCTGACCACAAAGTACAGGTGAGTCATCATTTACTACTACCATGCATGTGTACAAGACCTAAAAAGTTTGGACTCCTAAAAATAGATGTCTAAGGTTGTTTATCTATCTATCCCCTCATGATATTTTCCTTCTTTCTGCTTAGGTGGTCTGTGGTGGGCCCACAGAATGGAATACAGTATGGGCCCTTTGCACTTCCCCAGAATGGTTTACCCATCAGGCTCTATCCTAAACCTGCAAACCAGTTATAAGCATTAAGGGAATGCTTAAGATTTGTCTCTCCATTAATCCATTAAAAACCAAAATGATCAGATGGAACAACACTTTTACAAAGAACGCCCATGGTTTTCACAACAGCAAGTTGAAGATGAAGAAAAAAGATATCATGAGTGATATATATATATTTAAATATATAAATCAGGTGAGGAGTGATGGGAATTACATGGAAACAAAGTGCACATAGAGATGGCCGGAGTTCCCATAGTAGGTAGGAGTCTTAAAATAAGAGATTGTTAAAAATTCTTTTGTTTCCAGACAAGATGAGAAAGCCAGCTTTATAGGTATGGCTGGAGCCTAGTAATTAGCAAAAAATGATTTTTTTTTTCTCACCCTCCCCATTTGATTGTTTGCAATTTCTTACATGTATGGATCGGAAGTCCGCAAGGCAAATCAATGAACATTTCTTTCACTCTTATTGCTGCAAATTAATCTCTCTTATTCTCCTATAGTCCTATTAGAGTCTACAAGAGTTAATGAAGGTGGTTGTGGTCTAATTTTGGTGTAACGGAGCATAAAAAAGGGTCAGGTTGACAGGTTCCGATGAGAACACTTCTGATGAGAAATGAGCATGACTCGAAAGGATGTACTCCCTCCGGATCTTTTTAAACCACACAGTTTGACTTCACATTGATTAAGGAAATAAAATTGACTCTACTGTAGAGTACACTGTTGAGACACTGTTTGGCACTGTTGAGACACTGTTTGGCACTGTTTAACACTGTTTTTATGTAGATTTCTTTGCCAAATAAGGAAATAAGGAAGTGTGAAGTTTATTTTGGACCGTCCCAAAAAAGAAAATGTGAAGTTTATTTAGAACCGGAGGGAGTACATTCTAAATCATTATGGTAACATTCGTAGTTAAGATAATTCACAATTTAAATTCGTAGATCGAAAAAGTTTAAATTAGTTAAGATGAATGAAATGACTTTGGCTATTAGCCCTAAATAGGACTAATATTACTCCTAAAAGAAACAATAGGATTGTATCATTTTTATTCTCAAAATAGGAGTCGTTCCAAAAAATAATCCCAAAATAGGAGTAATATATTCCATATATCTCTTCTTCCATTGTAACCTGTTTCTATAATACCTAACAAATTTCTTATATTAATAAGAAAATCATAGTTTTATTTTTAATAAAAGTTTAAAATAATCAAAAAATTATAAATTAATAATAAAAACATGAAAAAATAAAATAAATTATAAAAAAATAATAAAAATAAAAATTTAAAAATAAAAATAATTAAATACATTAAAATATAAAAAAATATAAAAGATATTAAAAAAATATGTAGGCATCTGCCGGCGTATCCTCCACCTCCCGAGATCAGCAGCTCTAGTCGCTAGAAAAAATGCAATCTTGTGTAAAAAAATGTGACATTCATCTGAAAATGTCTTGAAGATAACATTTTTACTTTTTGAAAATATTCAACTTTGTTTTCAAAATTGCCATCATATGGGAAGGTTCTTATGAGAACTCATTTTAAAATGAGAACCCGTTTTAAAATAGGAACTTTTAATTTTCATCATCTATTTTTATAATCAATGCCTAATAATGTCAATGTGGCAATTTTGTAAATAGCTAGAACTAATTGCAAAAATGACCCATTTTAATATGGGGTTGTTATGCATATGGCCCCATGTGAATCATAATCAATGATTGTAATAAATGAGAGGTTGGGGTTAAAACTTTTCATTATAAGTGTGTGTAGATTTATAATCAAATACAAGATGTTTTTCCAAAAATATTACTAATAAAAAAGTCTCCCCACTAACCAAGATGGTACCATTAAAGCGATGGCATATGTTGAATTTATTGATAATAATGCAATGAAGAATGCCCTTGAACTGAATGACTGGCAAACACATTGTTTGTGGAAGAAGCCAAGCCAAGAGGTGATTATGGTGGAAGAAGCGGTGGACGTGGTGGTGGTGGAAGAAGAGGTAGACGTGGTGGTAGACATGGTGGTGGAAGGGGAAGGGGTGGTAGGAGTGGTGGCCCGGGAGGGGGCGTTGACGTGGACAAGGAGGCTGGTAAAACAATTTTGAGGAAAGATATACCAAGTTGGGTGGAGCAAGAAGTTCCTAATTTTACTTATTCAAAGTCTTATAATTGTTGTTTTTTGTGGAACACATGGAACGTATTTCATGTGTTGTTTTTATGTGGTGTGATAGTAGTTCTGTTTGTGTATGTAGTGCATAACTCTCTCTTTTTTTGCTTTTGCAAAAAGTGGACTTCCTGCATACAATAGTGTACCGTAAAGGATCAAAAGTAGATGACAAAAACCTCGCAATGCAATAGTGCACAAAACTTCCTACATGTCATGGTGAAGATACTCACAAAATTTCATAAACAAATTCCACCGAAAACATAAATCATGACTTATAAACTCAACAATCCTAAATTAAAAGTATAATTTTATAGTGACAAATTGGGTAAGTATGAGACTACAATGAAAAACACTAGTAGCAATTGAAAAATAATTACAAAAAAATATTTATTTATTTACTAAGACATTTATGTCCTTATTAACTATTAATTCGTTAAACTTATAATGCATGTATAACTTTTGATTTATCAAAGTGCAACTTCATCATGTGATAAATTGTATAAGTATATGACAAGTATGAGACTATGTATCATGAAAACAACATATAACACTAGACACTTTTTTGTAATTAACTTTTAACTCGTTAAATGTAACTTATAAAGTCAAATATATAACTTTTAGAACTTTTAAATTACTTAGCAATGTTCATAGCTAATAGAGTATAACTGGATTGTTTTAGCTACAAAAAGTATTTCAAGTTGGTAGCAACACCAATATCCATACTTTCATTCTAACAATACTAACTTCCTGTGTTGATGGTATACAATAACTTGTACTGTACAACCCCACATTTTTAAACATTAAGAAAGAATCCATAATTTTCAAGTTCGATACAAAGGATTCAGCCACACTTTTTGTCTTTGGACTCTCAATATTATTTTGAAGTCAACCCATTCAAGACATTTTCAATTTGAACAACTCGCTCTTTTTTTAGGTTTGACGCTTTCAACGTAACTTTCCCTATGTGTTTGAATTGAGACAATCGGCTGTTAGCGGTTAGCTGTTAGTTGGTACGACAGCTGATTGACAATAGCTGGTTGTGTTAGTTGTTTTGGTTAGCTGGTTATGTTAGCTTATTGTTAGCAATTGTTTGGTAAATTAGCTGTTTAAAATTAGCTGTTAGAGTGTAAAAAGACATAAAAGGACATTAATATTTTTTACCATTCAATTGTAAAACTAATTATTTACCATCATAAGCAGGAATGCTGGTTTTATTGAATGACAAGCACAACAATATTTTTACTAATTGTATGAAGGAATTTTACAAATAAACTAGACTTGTAGAATTATACTATTAAAAATAAGAAACAAAGACCTCACTGCTATCGATTTTTTTTTATCATCACTGCTATCAAATTATACACATGAGTTTATACGCCACTATAGAAACAAAATAAAGGAAGAAAAAGTTGGGAGCAAACAAAGTGAGCAGCTTTGGAGATAAAATAGAAAAAATTAAACTAGAAACGAACACAATCATACGAATGCTTACCTCCCTAATTCTCATACCCGAAGAATATTTGAGGATGAAATTGCAGATGGAGGAAGATTTTTTGTCGCAGAGGCAAAACGAAGAGAATAAACAGAGATGAAAGTGGTGTTGTGCGTCAAATAGGGAAGGCACGAAGGGGGAAAACGGAAACGCCGATGGTAAACGCTGCCTATCCCAGCGTTTCAAATTTTGGCTTTTTGGGATCAATAAGCTAAACTAACCATCTATTTACCAAACATTAATTTTAGGTGTTTATAAGGTCAAAGTAATTAATTGTGGTCAAAGAAGCCAAAAAATGGCTGATAAGCCATTTGCCAAACAGGGCCAATATCTTAACATTCAAAGTTATTACTCCCTCCGTCCTCCAATTATGTTCTCACTTTCCTTTTTGAGCAATCTCTAAATTAAGTTTACATTTCAATACTTTCCTTATTTGGCAAATAAACTACATCAAAACAGTGTCAAACAATGTTTAAACAGTGCAAAACAGTGCACTCTACAGTAAAGTCAAATTCATTTTCTTAATATGTGTGAAGTCAAACCAGGAACTTAATTGGGGGACGGAGGGAGTACATGATATTTGAAATTACTCCATGATTTGTAGATGTGGACAATATGACTAGATGTATATGATCAATAAAAAAAAGACAAATCTTGAATTGAGTAACTTCTCATATTACATAAATTCAAATTTAGACTATGATAAATTTGGGGCCAGAAACGGTCTTGCATGTGTTGCGGGACTGTCCATTCGCGGTTAGTACCTGGGAGCATCTTGCCTTTCTTTCTGAAGATCAACCGAATTGGGATTCTCCACTCATACCTTGGATCACATACCACTTGAAGACATCGACCTCTAGTCTTCTCTTTGGAAGGCCAGGAATGAGTTCATCTTTGCCGATATCCGCACTACACCCGAGGCTTTGTCACAGCGTATCTACTTATGGGCCAAGTCGGTAGAGGAGGCTTTGATACGTGATTAGTTCGTTCATTCTGGTTCACCCACAAAGACGGTGACAGATATCTCTTGGTCGTCACCGCCACCTGAGTGGGTTGCTCTCAATTCAGACGGCTCTGTTATTCATGAGACCGGACGAGCAGCCGCAGGAGGCTTGTTCCATGATTCCGATGGGCGCTGCTTAGCAGCCTATTCGATGAACCTGGGGATTTGCTCAATCACCAGGGCTGAATTGAGAGCGGCTGTGACAGGTTTGCAGATTGCTTGGGAGAGAGGATACCGTCGTGTACGAGTGCAACTAGATTCAAGTGCTGCGGTTCACCTATTATTGAGTGATGGCGAGCTCACACACCAGCATTCTTCTGAGGTCACCAGTTTTCGTGAGATGTTGGATCGGGACTGGATGATCAAAGTTGAGCATATCTATCGAGAGGGCAACCGGGCCGCCGATCTCTTGGCTGGCCTAGGCCATAGTTTACCCTTTGGTGTTCACTCTATATGTATTGACGATCCTACTTTATCATTACACATTTTGTATGATTTGTTAGGGGTTTCTCAGCCTCGGTTGATTGTGAATGAAAGATAGGCGCGGATGTGCCTATGGTTTTACCAAAAAAAAAAAGACTATGATAATAATAAAAAGTGTACGAAGACCTCATATTTACCTCAAGTACTCTTCTTTTTACATGTCGTTGGTCCCTTTCATATTATATCAAATATCATCATTTTCAAACTTATGACTGGTAAAGCGGTCTTATAGGTGTTTAAAAATTCCAAACAACATTATGGTTAGAGACTTTTTAATTATAAGTAACAATATCATTATATGTGTCTCGAGAGTCTCTTACCACAAAA